CGTGTGTGTGTTCTGACCTATTCGTGCGTCACCCCTGGAACAGAGAACACTCATCATGGTGAGCGCTTAGATAGGCGTTGCTGTAAACAATAAGAGGACGACTAGCATTCCAATGGTTCAACGTCGCCTATGTTGCGTAGACAACTGCAGTAAAGTCCTTAAGCTCAGTGTTACCTGTTCTAGCCGCATTAGATCGTACTGTCCGCAATGTGTAGGAACATCCGTCCAAGAAGTGAGACAGACAAACAAAGTTGCTGACACAATTTGGTTTTGCCCAACATGTCAAGTCATTCCAGTCGTTAACCGTTTATCTTTGCTCATGAAAAGTACGATAGGATGATTGAGATAATCGCGCATTTTGTAAATACTAAGATCGATCCCACGGAGGTAAATATGATCACGATAATACCTCACCCAGCCAAAGTAAGCTCCGAATCTAAGTCGAAGAAGAGAGCTAGACCCTCCAACCCCACTGCAGCGTCTGTGACTCTAAATCCACTGAATCACCTCACTCCCAAATGTGGACAAGCTTCAAACATGCCTGCTTCCACTTCTCCAAACATATGCGCTTCACTTAGAGATTCAGCCATGACACCGACAGCTCAGAGCCAAATGCGATCCGGTGCAGATAACAAGCAGGTAACGTACGCACCGATTGCCTCGACAAACACACCTGGAGCGACATACATAGGTCCATCTTCAGTACCAAGCACGCGTGGCGCAACGCACCTTTCACCATCAACTCCAGTGGTGCCTTCTAAACAACCCGAATTGCCGGCAAAAATTATAAAGTAAGTAAAGCGGCGCTATACCACATCTAGTAACTTATTCACGATGGTCGTTGCCGTCCCCCGTAGCTCGGTGGTCTCAACCACGGACTGGCAACAGTCGAGTTGCGGTTTCAAGCCCTACCAAGGGTCCGATGGAATGCGCACTGTTGATGATTCCCGAAAGTATGAAACGCGCGTACAGTGCTTTTCCGGGATTGTGGCGGCTGTCTGAGTGAGCCTAGATGTGACGAAGTTCTACCTATACCATTCAACTCCCCCTACTACTCCCCTGTAAAAAAGTATAAAGCCAACACTCGCTAGACAAAAGCACGCTGCGTTAACTCTCGTGTGCACCAATGTTCCCGAATCCAAATCTGGCACAATAAAAGGCAGGTTGCAAGACGATCGCAACCAGTGGAGTTCCATCTGCGATGCGATTAGTATTCGGGTTGAGCCTGCAATGCTGCAACGCGTAGCGCGTCACCCGACCTCAGTGCACTCTGATGCACCTAAAATTCTTCGAGTAACACTAGACTCAGCAGATGAGAGCTGTCCTGCTCTCAGCAGTTCGTCTTCGTAACTCACCGAGAGGAGTACACATATTACCTGATCTCCCTTGGAAAGATCGCCTAAAAGAAGCAGTTGAGCAACGCGGCATTCCTAATAGGGATAGCAAGAAAATCATATTTGTTCATGGTGTTCCCGAGCTTCTGCGTTCTTCTGAGCAGGAAGTGTAAACACATGACCGAGAGCAGTGGTACTATATCCGGGAAGCACTCTCGGTTGACAACGTTATTGCCAAATCCTTGACAAGAGTTCCGTCATCACCTAACTACATGGGCTGCGGTCCAAGGCTAATTAAAGTAATACTACACTCCGAGGGAATGACGCAAGTTCTGTTGGATAGCTGGTTAAAGTTTCGAGCTAGGTTGCCAACAGAGATCCGGCTAAAGGCAGCAAGCGAACGGCCAAGAGTCGTAAGCAATTCGATGGAACTTTCAAATACTGCAAGTTCTTTATTTGCACAGTCCTGCGGAGAGACCGACATAACAGCGCCCACGGCACACAACAGGACAGAGTATAGCACGAGTGAAACGTCCGTTCAGGAACGCTCAACAATGCCATGAAACATGACTGAAATACATAAACCAAAAAATGATTAATGGCCGGCCACCTAACGGCCGGCTTAAAAACTAACACAAAGTTAACATCCGTCAAGGCACTCCTAACAACAAAAGCTCTATCTGGCATGTATACAAACGCCCAAGATTTTCTAAGTAACTTGATCGAACTTAGAGAACTCCATGCCTCACAACCGCGGGACCTCGTCATGATTACAGAGACATGGTTAAACGCTGAGATAACTGATTCTGAGATCAATTTACCCGGTATGTCACTGCTTCGGACGGATAGAACCGGGAGGGGTGACGGCATGATTCTTTACTATAATACAAACCTCCGATGTGAAGTTATCGATCACCCGGAAGTCAGAGCTCCCGATTCGCTTTGGTGTCGCCTTTGGTTGCGAAACAAGGACACATGTCTACTAGCCGTGATTTATCGCCCACCAAATTCAACGTCGGAAATGGACTCCAAACTGAACCACGTTTTTCAGTTTTCTTTGAGCAAGTCCTACACCCACATTCTTATTGCTGCAGACTTTAACGTGCACGACATAGGAACGCAGGCAACCGACGGTACGCAGTTTAAAGCCTGCTTGCAAGAGCTAATTACTAGCCACCCTCTGTAAAACCACGTAACCTCTCCCACCAGATTTCGAACTGCAAACAAGCCGTCGATACTGGATCTTGTGCTCAATAACGAAGAACTCATGGTTGAAGGGATAGTTACAAGCACACCACTGGGTCGTAGTGATTATGTTACTCTACTCTCTGACTATATATGCTATGCGGAGTACCCGGAAATGGAAGATGATAAAGTACATGCTGTCACGGACCACAATGTGTTATCTAAGCTTGTTAAGGATACATCATGGACTTTCTTAACCGAATGTCCCCCAGATGTTGCCTGTGAAACTTTCACAAGGACGTTTAGAACATTGGTTTCACACGCATCGGAACAGAAGTCATTCCAACCCAAAAAGAAGCATAAGTAATTTCTGAGGAGCAGGACACGTAAAAGTATGTCCCGGAGGGGTTTGGCATAGAGAGCTCACAAGGACTGCTCCAATGCCGAAACCTGGACTGCATACGTGACACATCGTAACTTCTGTGTGAAACTGATCCGCGAAGACAAGGTCACGCATCAGCAGGAGTTAATGAAGCGATTCTGCACCAACCGCAAACTTCTGTACAGGCACGTTAACGGCCTTCGAAAGATGAAGCGGGGGATTCCAGCACTAGTCACGGCTGATGGGTGCACGCGGTCAGCAATGGAAGCAGCCGATCTCCTACGGCTCAATTACTTCCAAACTTTCCAGCAGGTAACGAACCCAAACATTCTGTTCATTTCTAATACTCCACCATCTGGCTTAGACAACCTCACCTTCACTGCGGTAGCTATGTTGAAGAAGTTGTTATCCTTGCGTATCCACAGTTCTCCCGGAGCTGACAACATCTGACCAAAGGCTCTGCAAGCGGTAGCTATTGATCTAACAGAACCACTGGCTGTTTTCTATCAGCGATGTCTAGAAGAGAACCGTATTCCCTCAGTATGGAAGCGAGGGGTCATCACTCTTATCCATAAAGGAGGTAGCCGCACTGATCCTACCAACCACTATCCAATAACACTACTTCCCGTACTATCCAAAGTGATGGACTCAATCATCGCAGATGCGTTGATACAGTATCTGGAAAGTCACAACTTCATAGCTCCAGAGCAACATGGCTTTCCTCAAAAGCATTCGTGTGATACTAACCTATTAATTACACCTAATAGCTGGACCGATGCTGTTGATGATGGAGTAGGAGTCGATGTCATCAACCTGGACTTTACAACAGCGTTTGATCGCTTAAACCATGGAATTCTCCTTCAGAAGCTTCGGAACTACGGCATTGGCGACCCAATCCTGAGTTGGAGTAGTAATTTCCTACACGAACGACGGCTAGTGGTGGGAGTCCGAGAATCATTTTCTGATGGAATCAATGTGGCGTGTGGAGTACCACAAGCCTCGGTTCTTGGACCTCATCTATTCTTCGTGTTCACTAACGATTTGGCGAGATCAATTGCTTCTGATTTCCTATTTTTCGCTGATGATATCAAGATATGGCGTAGGATCAGAGGACCGGACGACCATGAACGGCTCCAGTGCGATCTTATCACAGTGTCGAACTGGTCACTTCAAAACGCCCTACCGTTCAACGTAGACAAATATCGCGTTGTACAATTACGCCATAGACATAACTACACCTATTTACTTGGGGCAAACGGATTGCAGACCAGCTCCCAGGAACGTGACCTTGGTGTGATAGTACAGAGCGACCTCAACTGTTCAAAACTGGCTGAGGTAGCTGCCAAAAGATGCAACCAGCACGTCGGCATGCTACGAAGGGCATTCGGGAGATTTGACCTATCAATCTTCCCAATGATGCACAATTCCTACGTGCGCCCGCATGTTGAATACGCTATCCAAGCTTGGCAACCTTGGTTGAAGCGCGACCTAGAAGCGTTAGAGGCACCACAACGAAGAGCAACAAAGAATGTAAAGGGCCTGCGCCATCAATCTTACCACCGAAGGCTGAAGTTGCTGGGAATTTTCATCGGACTCTATCGAAGGCTGCACGGTGATCTCATTTTAGCGTATCAGATACTGAGTAACCCCAACCACGTATGCCGCCATTTGCTGAAAATTGGCCACAACGCACAGCTCAGGTGTAACTGCTTAAATTTGAAGGAACAATATAGCCGTCTGAAGTGTCGACGGAATTACGTTTCCCTTCGTGTTTGCCAACCCTGGAACGCATTCCCAGACTCAGATGTATCCTCTCTTACCTCGGACGTTTTCCAAAATAGGTCAAATGTTGCTCTTAGCATTTCGTTACCTAAACTCCTCTATTGTGGATTACGTCAAGCATGCTTTTCAACAGGATTTATTTATCAAATGGACCCAAGTGAGCGACCATATTTTACTTTCCTCACGCCTTACATCAACGATCACTGCACTCCAGCGTCTTTCTGAACGTATACTCTCGATTTTTACACTGATGCCATTTATCGAAGTATTCATCTAGGCAGATGTTCGCTAGATGACCCAGATATATTTGGATTTCAGCGTATTCACTCCAACCATCCTACTGGACGTGTCAAGCACTTGCTTTTATCCCGTGATAAATCATTGTTCGTTGGAGATGGAGGTGACTGCGATATTACAAAATTATACCACCTTCCCTATTCCGTCGATCTGTAAGTAGAACGGACTTACCTGGTAGAGCGAACTCCGTAGCAGCCATTTCATCGTCCAGGCAAGTCTCATTTATCATTATCAGGTCCGCATACATCGGGGTTTGATGAACTTGAAACTCGGATAACTTGTTGTAGAAGCCATGAGCATTGGCTGTTTACTTTTAGTCTGATAAACTATCCCGCAAGTAGACATCAGACCAAATTTTAGCGAACAAGCTCGTTTTCAGTGGTTCCTCATCAGGCTAATACACTACAAATGAATGACATGAACGTAAACATCAGATAAGGGTACAGGTTCAAAACTCAGATGATTGAGTGACCAAGTTGAGCTCTCCGTTAGGACCATTGTTAGGAGACGTATTTATGAGTAAGTTAGAGAACACTATCTAGACAGAGTTATCAAGAAATTACTACTACGGACGATATGTGGACGATATGTTCTGCATCTCAGATAGTCATCTTTGTACGGAAGAATTAGTGAGGCAATTTAACTCAGCTCAAGCAAACATAAATTCACCATTGAATCTGGCAGCAACAAATCATTGTCGTACTTAGCCTTTCAGATTAGCCGACGATCTGACGGGTCTGTCTAGGGCAGTGTCCATAAAAAGACAACGTGGAACCGGGCAATATACTCACTTTGCCAGCTTCGTTCCGCTCAGCCAGAAACGGAATCTTGTTCGGTGCCTAACGGAGCGAGCAAGAAGAATATGTAGCGAGAACATGCTTTCGGACGAGCCAAATTTTGTACGAAGCCTATTCGATAGAAATGGCTATCCGGAGAGGTTCGTCCAGAGAAACATGGAGGTGCGAGAAGCGAAGGCAAAAGTGGATTCAGTAGGAAAGAAACCGATCTACTTATCCTTACCGTTCAAGGGGGACGGGATGGCTAAATCAACGTCTAGAAGGCTTTCTGCCACAATCGCCCAAACGTACTATACAGCAAGCCTACAGCTAAGCTTCTACTCAGTGCCGGCCCTGAATCAACAACTTAAGGACAGAACTCCAAGGTCAGGTACTTCATTCTGCGTATACTCTTTCTGTTGCTCGTGTCGATCATGATATATCAAAAGAACTACCAAGAGATTGTCCGAGAGAGCCAGGGAACACTGTCCAGCTTCGCTGTATAGCGGAGGGACTAGATCAGTGGCAAACGCAGTGTGTACACACCTGATGGACTCGAGCCACCAAGTCAGAGCGCATTATGCGTTCCAGCCCATCTACCGCGTACGCAGATGCCACACAAGAGCGGTTAGATGTCGTCTACTGGCAGCGGCCGAGGCGATAGCCATCAGGCTTCATGACCCTGACCTGTGTGCGCACAAGAAATTTGTGCGGGCACTAACTCTACCCTGGTCCCCTGGAACACGGACACTTAGTGTGGATAAGGCCACAAACACACTGATGATCGGCGTGGGGGCAATCACCTGACTTTCCCATTCAGACCATCTGGGTTTTGAACCTGTACCCTTATCCGATGTTTACGTTCATGTCATTCATTTGTGGTGTATTAGTCTGATGAGGAACCACTGAAAATGAGCTTGTGCCCTGACATTTGTTCTGGAAGCTAATGTATCTGAGAATGTAAGTGACAAGTGCCGACTTTTGCCGACACTTGTGTGGTCGACAACTAATCGTTTTTCGGTGAATTGCTAACATTGAACTTTTAGCTGCTTCCTATTGGCTAGTAGAGTGATCAAAGGAAGACGTTTTGGTTTAAGTAAGTATTGGGAACGTCGTTGCCCCTTCAAGCGATGGTTGTGCTTTGCAGTGGTCCGTCTGCGACATAAGACTTATTGGACTCACTGCGAGAAACTTTGCACTCTTTCTCCATATTTTGGGTTTGGCGTTAAACGTGTTTACTCGTAACTCTGAGGCGAACTCGTTGTGTCACTTACGCCACATTTCAAGTGCATTTTCCACCACGTCCTTGGACTGGAACTAAATTTTCCTCGCTTTATGATCACACCTTCAGTACTTTGATGATGAGCATATCCCTTGTCATCGATTTGGCGATTCCCTTGTCGAGTGATGGAGCCTGACGAAGGTATCGCCATTCTTTCGAATCACGAGCTTGAACTTCACGTTTATCAGACTTGAAGCTCCCATACACCATGACTAAAGGTCGACTTTTCCTTGTTCCGATGGTGGTAGTCGTCAACTTTATGTTCTCTTTGCTGGCGCTCGCTTCAAGGGACATCGGAGAAAATCCGAACGCTATAACAGCCAGATCGGAAACTGGTGGCTGACAAAAAAATCGCCTCAGCACCTTTTGCTGATTGTTCCGTCACTTGTAGCAGCCATGGTTTCCAGTAGTGAGTATTGTTTGGGTGCCGTATGATGGGCGCCATGCTAACCGGCTTTGCTTGAACGCCTTTTAACAGATATATAGAATCCCACTGTTTTCGGTCATCCAACAGATTCTCTTTTATGGATATCGCGTTAGATTCTAGAACACTGGAATTTACGATCAGCAGTGACTCGTGGGGTTGTATAGGAGTAATTGGATCTGAGTTTTTGCAGGAGTGACCGGCGCATATGTTGCACTTCTGGCGCCCTGTGTAATCGATCCAAGTGTAGCCACTAAATTTGCCGTGGGTTTTTGGGCAAAGGCAACAGACACGTATGTAGTCATGCTCTTACAGGTAGCGCATGTGTTCCCGTGTACCGATATAGCTTGCTCCACAGAGTTGTGCACATGCAGTATAACCTGGGTCATGATGGGAGTTGCCATAGTAAGTGAAATTTGTTTGTTTGCTCGACTTCGGATTGGGACTTTTCCGTGTATCTAATTCCCCGGTCTTACTCCTTCCCCTGGTTCGGGCAATACGTTTTACTGTGGGGCCATTGTCAATGAGCCCTGCTCAGGTTGAATCCGACGAGGAACATTTACTAAGTCTAGATCCCTTGACCATTACCTCTAAGTTATCGCATTTCTTTGCCAAAAAAGTTATGCATCTAACAAGTGGAACAGCTATGCAGTCAATGTAGAGCCGAAGCTTTTTTCATTTCCCTTGCATTTAATAGAACACACTTGGTGTAATAATATTTTTTGCGTCCAGAATACAAATTGCGCAGCTACATGTGCTTTTCGACAACGTCTCATATTGAACCGTATTTATAGCTCCGTCTAGTCTCAGGGATCTACACCATTTCTCGGCCAAGTTGTCGTCTTGGGCAACAGAATTAATCTGAGGGGGCATCCAACATGAGTCTACTCAATTAATTTGAGCCGTGCGTACACCACTTACTTGTGCAGGTGTGTAGGTGTGCGTGTATAGCCCTTCGACATAACTGTCCAAGACCAACTGGACGAGGCAAGTTACGGACTTTGGTATCCGATGGCAACAACCTGCGTTATGCACAGGAGACACTGATAAGTGTCCTGTGCAAGGGTTGCAAGGGTAGTGTGTGACTGATGTAACACGGAACCAGCAAATCCCTCATCCTTGCTACTTGGAGATGTCTGCGTTTTTGGTTGCGCCATCTCGTTACAACGAGATGGCACAGCAGCACGATCCCCAAGTAGCAAGGATGAGGAATTTGCTGGTTCCGTGTTACATCAGTCACACACTACCCTTGAAACCTAGCACAGGATTTCGTGACACTTATCAGTGTCTCCTGTGCATAACGCAGGTTGTTGCCATCGGATACCAAAGTCCGTAACTTGCCTCGTCCAGTTAGTCGTGGACAGTTATGTCGACGGACTATACACGCACACCTACACACCTGCACAAGTAAGTGGTGTACGCACGACTCAAATTAATTGAGTAGACTCAGATTAATTCTGTTGCCGAAGACGACAACTTGGCCGAGAAATGGTATAGTGGGGCAGCTGTCTACACATACACACACACTGACAAGTGCATACGCACATGCGGTGAGTTAAGTGGTTCACTGAACTCGGTAGGTGAGCTACCGCTAGACTTGACGCACACTGGTCTCACAAAACGGGAATAGGCGGTGTCGGTTTCTGAAAAGTGGCGATTGCGCCATACTGCAAAACTCTGCGTTCAACTGGGTTGGATATTGGAAGAACACTTGTGGTGGCTGCATAATATGATGCAGCGACTAACCACAGTGTTGGATGGATACGCGTTTAGGATATTCGCATAACCTGAAACAAACTCTTTCGCACGAGAGTAAACATCCAACTGGGACTTGAAAAGTGATGTAGTTCCACGCGCGAATAATGACAATCGCTCCATCCAAATTCTAAACAATACAATGTGAGGATGGATGTTGCAGATTGACATCTTTTCATGCTTTCAGACCACACGCTGAGAGTAAATGATATGTTGAAGCGGTAAGAGAAATCCGACAGTTTACTATTCATTTTATAGAGCCGATAACTCCGAGTGGAAGAAGTGTATCAAGAGGGTGGGAAGGTACCCGAAAAATATCGCGAGCTCCGAAATGTCGAAATTGCACGTCACAAGATGTTGGACTGCATCTTAGCCTGCTCCACTATAGAACCACTCTTTGAGCGTAGCACCATCCCAAGTACCGTGCACTGTGTACCCCTCTTCTGAAGCAACGACAAACTGTCTCCTGGAGCCAGTATAATCGGAGTAGCGGTTTTTTGACTGGTAGGCACGTTGTCAACATCACATCAAGCGCAGCCGCACTGGGGATTTCAAACGAGCAACACAACATTTAAAGGATAATAAACACGCAAGCTCGATACCTAATATCAAGTAGAATAACACAACTGAACTTATCAAAGAAAGTAGAATAAATTCTATCCAGCTGAGGAACATCTAGTTTAGGTGTAAGTCTGTGTGCTCACCATAATATCCACATTACACATATGTTTATCCGTCTATTCTGATTTCATCGGGGCCGGTATGCACAATGGTTGTCTGCGTTTTGTCAGTACTGCATCATTGGGAGTCGTCACGTGGTGTCCGTGGTGTAATGCCTCGTCGAGTGTTTTAATGGTAACATAGGTACGAGAAGGATAAAACTCGAAAGAACGACACACAGATTACAACTTCGAAAGGAATAACACTCCGCCTGCACTCCAGCCGGATGTATTAGGTTTCCAGTTTCAGCTGCT